TCACTTGAAAGTTTTACCCATATTAGCTCACAATGACTTCATAGCACCATTTTACCAAAATGATCGAGTATACAACAACAACATCAAGCCTTTGTCCCACAACGTCAGGTCAGCCACATGAATCATTTTTCTCCATTGTGTCCTGTTAAAAATCAAATTCTCATTTAAATCTACTAAAGAAAGATCATTTCTAATATTATCTAACCAAGTCTTTTTAGGCCTACCTCTATCTTTCTTAATATAAGTCAAATATAATGCATCTACTTTCCTAATCAGGTCATCAGAAGGTCGTCGTTTTATGTGACCAAACCATCTAAGGCGACTCTCTCTAATCTTATCTTCCACTGGCATCACTCCAACCTTTTCACGTATATGCTCATTTCGTATCCTATCTCTAAGGGTAAAGCAACTCAATCCACCTGAGCATCCTCATCTCTGCAACACTTAGTATTATGCTTCTCTTTTAATTGCCAACATTCAGCACCATAAAGCATTACAAGCCTCACCACCATCTTATAGAATTTTCTCTTAAGTTTGAGGGGGACTTTTCTATCACACAACAAGCCCGATGCATTCCTCCACTTCAACCATCCAACTTGAATTCTGCTGATAATATTCACATTTATTTCACCATCATTCTGAAGAATAGATTCAAGATATCTAAAATGTGTACGCTTATTAATGATTTGATCGCTCAAAGTCACAATCCCCTCACTAGGTGTAGTACTACTAAAATTACACTCCATATATTCAGTTTTAGATCTACTCAAGAGAAAACCTTTATACTCCATATATCATCAGCAAAAAGCATACACCAAGGTACATGCTCTTCCAAATGTTTAGTGAGAACATCCATGACTAAAGCAAAAAGATATGGGCTTAAGGCTGATCCCTGATGTAATCCAACCGAAATAGGAAAATACTTGGTCAAACCACCTTGTATTTGAACACAAGTAATAGCTCTTGCATACATATCTTTAATGATTTGAATATAAGAGTTATTAACTGCTTTCTTTTCAAGAACTCTCCATAGCACTTCTCTTAGAACTTTATCATATGCTTTCTCCAAATCAATAAATATCATATGTAGATCCTCCTTATTCTCTCTATATTTATCCATCAAACCTCTCAATAAATGTATGGCTTCAATAGTAGACATATCCGGCATGAATCCAAATTAATTTTCAGAAACATTAGTATCATGCTGCAACCTATGCTCCATAACTCGCTCCCATGTTTTTAAGTACGACACATTAACTTAATTCCTCTATAATTCACACAATTTTGTGCATCACCTTTATTCTTAAAAATAGGAATTAACACACTCATTCTCCACTCATTTGGCATCTTTTGTCCTCAAAACAGTATTAAAAAGTTTAGTATGCCAAAAAATTCCTTCATCTCCTAAGCATTTCCACACCTCTACTGGAATATCATCAAATCCAACAGCTTTTCCACACATCATTTTCTTTAAAATCTCTCTAACTTCGGTTTTACTAATATACCGATAAAAACATAAATCTTTCTTTTCATTTAGGGTGCTAAGATCACTAAAGTCAATTGTATTTTCATATTCTTCATTGAAAAGTTTAGCAAAATATCTCATCCACCTTTGTCAAATACCATCTTCTAAGAGAAGTACTTTTTAATTTTCATTCTTAATACACTTCACTTGAACTAAATCCTTACTACTCCTACCTCTTTGTTTGGCTAACTTATACATATATATGTCTCTCCTTAGTATCTAATCTATTATATAAAACATAAAAAGCTAAGATCTTTGCATCACATATTGCTTTCTTAGATTCCTTACATACCTCTTTATATCTTTCCTAATTATTAGAAATTTCACATGCAAACAAATTTTTATAACAAATCTTCTTATTTTTTATCTTTTCTTGCCATATGGATTCTACCACCAACTATTTTTACTATTACGAGTTTTTCCCTTTGAAATTCTAAGTACATCTTTTACAATATTATTAATATCACTAGTCATTTTTGCCAGCATAACATTAGCGTCCTCATGCACAGATAAAATCTTACCCTCAATTTTTTTTTTTATTATTATTCTTTAAATGCCCCCATCTAATCCTAAATATTGTTTTACTTTATTTTTTTATTTTATGCCCTTTTAACCAAAACTAATAATCTATGTTAAGTACATAAATTTTCATTATGAATAACTTTACAATCTTTGCAATCTAAACGATCTAATTTTTTAATAATAAAATTATCAATCTGAGTTTTACTATATCAATTTTTATAAGTGATGAGATGCTCAGAAGCAAAATGAGATTTTACTTGAACATGGTATGATTTAAACCATAGTCAAGTGGGCCAAGTCAATCCCTTTAGACTTGGTCAAATTTCCTTAAATCCTTTTCTAAGCTTTAAATATGTTATCCCCAGGCCTTAGGATCCAACCAACCAGCTCCTAACTCCTTCCTATGCCACCTCAGTAGCCACATGGCATGGGAACTGGTCAAACAGCCAAACCAAGCATTTAGAAGAGTTAAACTTGGTCAAAACACCTCCTAAACCTAATCCTCTCTATCTTAAAGCCTTCCAGCAGATTGAGGCCATTCTAGAACATTCCCCAAAATCCAAATCAAAATACAAGGCTAAAGGCCTAGGTCCTGAACATGTAGTAGGTAACTCACGAGGCTTGCAACCCACTAGTAGGCAACTCACGAGGTCTACAGCAGACCACATCTCCTCACGGCTTAACCTAATTCACCCATCTCCTCCTCACGACTTAACTTCCCTCTCTGTTTCACACAAACCTCTTCATCCCTTACTGTCTAGCACTTGCCATGAACGCTCCCAAGTCAATCGGGTCTTCCTGCTTATGAACCGTACTTCCTTTCTCCCTTCTTATCACTAAATCTCTTAACAGGAAATTAGAAGTATATTTGCTTACTTCATTTTAATCAAATATGCTCTGCTACTATTGTCAGATTTTTTGTTTCAAGATATACAATTATATGCTTAACTTTGAAGCAGATTTTCTCTATATCATTTTATTCATGTATACTACCATTTATAGCAAACAATCATGGCATGCATCTGAGGGAATATTCATATATTAGACCTTTCATATATATCCTTTAACCAAAATGATCGAGTATATCTCACTAATTTTGATTTTACAATTCAACTCTTTGGAAATCAAACAAATTGCATATTTTCAAAAAATTCTTCCAAATCACAGATCTATCATAAAAGATTTTTATAATCATATCCCACATCGGATCTATAAATTTGATTTTAATCTCAAGATAGTTACAATGTTCTGATCTAAATTGACAACATAGACTGTCTTGTTTAAATTTCTTCATTTATAAATTTAATAACCCAATTAATCTCTTATATTTAGTTGGTTTTATAAGGCAACTATAAGCTCTGATAAAAATTTAATGCACAGGATTTTCTAATGCAATTATAATGATGAAATGCGTCTCAAATAAGGAAACTTAAGATTCGCATATCTTAAAACAACTAAAAAGTCAATAACTTGTTTTCTTTAAAAAAATAATAAATAAGAGAATTAGAACTCAAATAGTAATGTATGATCAAACAAATCCAAATAAATAAGTGATAAATTTGAATAATACAACAACAACATCAAGCCTTTATCCCACTAAGCGGAGTCAGCTAATTTGAACAATGCAAAATCAAAAAGCCATCAAAATTTCATTGCCTTAATTAGATTCTCAGATGTGAAAAGTTTTAGAAAAAATTAAGAGCACTAGCAAACCAATAAGAGGATGTGTAGAAGAAAATTTGGTCATATAAATAATTTATCAAAAAAGTTATACTCACACTAGTTCAGGGAGATGACTTCCCTCAAAATTAGGTTGTTGATTTTGTAGCACACTCAAAGGAATCACACCTCTACTTGCAAACACAAGATTAAAAATTTGAAGAAGAAATTTGTATTCAATCAATGATGGTTTATGTTATATGGCTCAGAACATTTATTTATAGATTCCTCATCTCTAAGTTAATAGTTAAAGCTAGGACAAGATTAGCCTGATATGATTCTGAATAACCATCAAGTCCTCATTTCAAACTTATTCAAGAAATTAGGAAAGAAAACAGTCGCATAAAGTAATATCCCGCCAACAAAAGTTGCATGAGCCAGGTAAACTCATAAAACAGAAACTCCCAAAAAATAGCGAAACACAGTTATACCCAACATACAATATAAACAAAATCCACTTCCTTTCTCCAATGCTATTTGCCACAAGATAACTAAAAGCCATTGCCTCTTGTATAGATAAAGAAAACATAAACCAACATGAGGTATGTACCTCAAAATACAATCTGCAGATTTTTAAGCTGCTGAAACAACACTTGAAATAGAAAATTCACAACAACGGGAATTGAAACCACCACCCACATTCTTTTAGACAGAGAACAGAAACCATAAATCAGCATATTATAGATTTTGAACTTGGAGAAATCCAAGAACCAAACCAACCAGATCTCATAACAAACCACAGAGACCAATCTAATAATAAAAAATAACAAATACACTCCTTTGGCCATAATCATCGCATGCTCCAACCTATAGAAATCATTAAAATGATGGCTGAAATTTATGACGGGAATAGACACACAAAACACTATCAACTACAACCTAGTTCCACCAATTTAGAAGTCTTTATAATAACTTAAGTTCAGCTTTCTTTGCTTTGTTCTGTATTAAGCAATAAAATTTCATAATTGACTTCCATTAAATAAATGAGTAGGCATGCACACAATTGATAGTCCATTTTTTCAAAATTTTAAACTATAAACATCAAATTCACAACAAATGATGATTACTTATCAAAGGAATTGATAATGGATAGCATCATATAGAAAGCATTTAGGTTTTACAATATTTTTATCTATTCATATCTAAGCATTAATGATATATGCAAGATCCAACTGTTCACATACACTTTACGGAGATACTAGCAGTCTACATCCAAACAATAGCATATGGCTACCTGTGGCACCCATTTAGGGGAGACAAAACTTGTGGCCTCAACAACTGGCAACCCAGAAGCAATCAACCTACGTATCAACTCAACTTTGACAAATGTGGGTACAATATTCTTCTCATTTTGCAACCCATCCCTCGGACCAACTTCTACAATCTTGACAAATTTTGGCAAGCCACTTAACACCTGAAAATTTTAACAGTATAAATTTATTTTAGGGGAAATACCTGCAGAACCGGAGGGAAGGACAAAGAAGCAAATAACAAAAAGATGGTAGCAGCAGGAAGAAAAAAAGCAAGGAAGCTAAGAAAAGGTTTGCTGTCAATTACAACTTGGATATTGAAAACATAGTAAAGAGTGTTATTCGTTTAAAACATACATGAAGCTAAAGAACAAAAAAAAAAAAAATCCTTTCATAGATGTTTCCGGAACAAAACATAATTTTCTATGTTATATTCTTTTAAACTCCTACCAATGCCCTGGAGCAGGTTTAAAATGGCCGTTTGTTTGGAATGATGCCTATTAAACGTACCAACCTATTGTTGCAATGTCCATTTCAAATGGTTTATTGTAGTCCCTTGACCATCTTCATTTGTATTTACAGCATCAAATAAGCATGATTATTATCGAATCAGGGTATTTATTATTTCCACAGTAAATTAAATATAAGGTTCCTTTTCTTAAAATAATTACCCTAGTTAGCGTTACAATAAGTTTCTAACAAACAGAAACTATTAACTAAGGAAAAACTACCCCTACTTAAATGGATTCTCTCTCTCTCTCTCTCTCTCCCTCCCTCTAATTTATAATCTATAGTATTTTTGCTATCAAGGTGCTTCACTCTCATCTGCTCCCCTAATCAACAACAACATCAAGCCTTTGTCCCACTAAGTGGGGTCGGCTACATGAATCCTTTTTCGCCATTGTGTCCAGTTAAAAGTCAAATTCTCATTTAAATCTAATAAAAAAAGATCATTTTTAATATTTTATAATCAAGTACTTTTAGGTCTACCTCTACCTTTCTTAATAAAAGTCAAATCTAATACCTCAACTTTCCTAAACGGGCCATCGGAAGGCCTCCGTTTAATGTGACCAAACCATCTAAGGCAACTCTCTCTAATCTTATCTTCCACTGGAGCTACTCCAACATTTTCACGTATATGCTCATTCGAATCTCTAAGGGTCAAGCCACTCATCCACCTAAGCATCCTCATCTCTGCAACGCTTAACTTAGTATAAAAAAAAAACTTGTCTCGTTTCAAGGTCTAAGTACAATCTGCTCCCCTAATCCTTCTATAGAAATTTGATATTGAGAGATTTTTATTACCTTAGGCTAGTCTTCTGCCTTCATTTTTATCATGGGCTTCTCTTTTTATTCTCGAGGCACCACCTCAATTTCATCAGGAAAATCTCTTTCTTTCTCTCTCTCTGAACATTTTAAGCTCACACCCTTTTATTTTTACAAAGAAGTTTCATCACTTCATCTTTTTTCTCCTAAGAGCACCACTACACTCGGGAATGAGTTGGGCACCTTCTTATTAGCCTAATCAAACCAACCCAAAAAATAACTGGGTCTGGGCAAAATTTGTCTTAAGACTAAACTGAAAAATTTGGCTTACCCAACTTGATCAAAACTCAAAAACAAGTCTGAATACCATCTTGACTATCAAGACAACACTAGCTTGCAAATGGTATTTCTATAACCAGATTCGACCCAACCTACCTAATGCCTAACTCTTCGGACCACCTCCCACCATTTCTTACTCTCATGTTTTATTGTGAGGCTCTATTGCTCACACTGTCTTGAAACTTCTTACCCTTAGGGGGGCATGTGTTTAAAAATTGAAGAGAAATTGATATGGATGTCATCTAAAAAAAGCATTCAGAACTGATGAAATCTTTTAAGAAATATAGATTTATATGAAAAAATTCCCCTTACTCTGAGTTCAAACATAACTACTTCAATTTCAATTCAATTTTTTTCTTGATCACTCTTAAAGTAACAAATGATGAAATATATGAAGAGGAGATGAATGAGTGGAATTTTATACTTGTTTCTTTATTGGTCTTGTCCTTCTATTTATATAGCAAAATACTAGGATACTCTTAATAACTTCTACATATGAAAACTACTAATTATAATAGAATTAGTAAAGATATTTACAAGTTTCACGAATTTAGTTCCCTAGAAATATGAGAGAAATTTTGCCCTTACAGAAACTAATGGATTCCAACCACAATGATAGCCCGCCGGTTTTGAAATCCCACATATTGCCATGCTGGCATCTAAAACCACCACCACCCTCAAGCTGAAGAACTTATATTCTTCATGTCTAATCAAAGATCAGTAATCCTTCGGTTAGGATGTCAGCGAATTTCTTGTGTTTTTAAGAATCGATTGATTTTCATGTTTGTTTGGTCATTTTGAACTGTAATATTTTCAATATTGATAATTAATTTGTTGTTATAGTATATCTTCATAGTATGTTTCCATTTTATTTCTAACTTATCCACCAAAATATTGATCCATAATAATAATTCACAGATTTCTTGAGCCATTGGCCAAAATTCAGCTTAACAGTAGATATGACAACTACTAGTTGCTTCTTGCTTCTCCAACTGATTAGATTCACACCTAGGAAAATGAAATAACTAGTAATAGACTTTTCTATAAGTGATCTTGCCCAATCGGCATTTATGCATGCTTCCAAGTGGAGTTATCTATTTCTTTTTAATAAGATTTTTTAGAGTTGTTTTGAGGTATTGAAGGGTTTTGTATAATGCAAGTAAGTGTGTTTCTTTAGGATTATGCATAAATTGACTTAGAATAATTATAACATAGACTATGCCTAATATTGTGTGGGCAACATTGATAAGGTTCTTGATGAATCTTTAATATATTCTTTGTCAACTTCTATGTTGTTACATGTCTCGTTGAGTTTGTAGCAAAAGTCAATTTAAACTTCTAAAAACTTTTATCCCATCATCTATGCTTCATTTAGCTAATATAGGATGAATTTTTGTAAAGAGATGAGAAATCGTCAAGTGGCTAAGGTAGGAGAACCATTAAAGCTTTGCCAGAGATTGACGAAACAAAGTTAAGAAGTAGGCTTAATATAAAAAAGGAAAGGTGCAGACAAGGGCGATCATCGCTTGGAATGAAGGTTGCTAATTTGAGGGTAGGTTACGGTACTAAAGGCCATCGGACTTCCATAAATATCCAATTTTTTAGTAGATCACTTTAATTCCAAAGAAACATTTGAGTGCTCCAAGATCTTTTGTTTAAAATTCTTTGGATAGTTGATCTTTCACTTTCCTTATTTCGTCGATACCATCTCTTGTTACAATAACATTGTCTACAAACGTGAGAACTGTAATTGTTACTTCGTTGAATTTTCAAATGAATAGAGCATGATCTCTAAGGCTTTGTTTGAAGTTCATTATTTACATAGCTTTAATGAATTCACAACCATACTCTTAAGAATTATTTAATCTCGTAGAGCTTTCTTTAACATGCATACATGGACAATCCTGAAATCTCAATTAAAATCAGATGGGAGTTCTATAAAGCTTCTTATTGTTCACCATATAGGAATATATATTTTACATCCAAGAATTGTAAGAACAAGTAGAGTTTTGCTGTCAGGGATGGAAGAATCCAAATGGTGTTTAGAATTATGCTAGTGTAAAGATTTCTCAATAATCAAGTTCATATATCTAAGTGTAACTTTTTTCCAAGAGTCTATCTTTACACATTTTTAAGTGTCCCATTTGTATTATATTTGATAGTTTATACAAATTTGCATCCAATTAATTTCTTTGTTTTTTTACCAATTCTATCATCTCCCAAATTTAGTTCGTTTTTACGGCTCTCATTTCATCAATCATGACTTCATTCTTTATTACCAAGTACTTCTTTGATAGCTCTAGCAATATTGATATTATTTATCTTAGTTAGAAGGTCTTATTAGAGGAGGAATTAACTAGAAGTGAAATTAAATTGGCAATTGGATATTGGCTGCATGTTTGGATTTCTTTCCTAATGGAATAAGAATGCTTATGTCATGATGGGTTTGTGTTTTAGAGGTGGAGATCATACCTTCACTGCATGGAAACTGATCTTGTATAGCTTCGCATAGCTTACCACACTTTGGTTTAGTGTCGGACTCATTTTTCCATCTTCATGAGTATACTTAAGGGGGGCGGACAGATTCTATGTGGGATTTTACTGGAATTGATTGATGTCTGAGGCAATTAATTATATCCATAGGAAAGTCTAGGAATTGCACAAAACTCAATACGTCAACTGAGTAGTTGGCAGATCAAGTTTAAGGACATATCATATACATGCAGTAATGGTTTAGATTCTATGTGGGATTTTACTGGAATTGATTGATGTCTGAGGCAATTAATTATATCCATAGGAAAGTCTAGGAATTGCACAAAATTCAATACGACAACTGAGTAGTTGCCAGATCAAGTTTAAGGAAGTCAAAGCTGTTTTCATTCCAAGGATTCCCTTGAAAAATAAGCTTGTTCATGAAACTTGATTTTCAACAAAGGCAACATCTAAAAAGATGAATAATTTTTTGGTACTAGGATGGTAATACTTATGCTCTTTTGTGATTGAATATCCAAGGAATATATGTTTTATGGCTTTGGATCATGTTGTGTTTTCGAGTTGATTCACATCAGCAATACTTCCAAAAAATTTTAGTGGAAGCAATAAGTGTTGCATACAACAACAACAATAACATCAAGCCTTTGTCCCACTACGTGGGGTCGGCTATATGAATCTTTTTTCACCATTGTGTCATGTTAAAAGTCAATTTTTCATTTAAATCTAATAAAAAAAGATCATTTCTAATATTTTCTAACCAAGTCTTTTTAGGTCTACCTCTATCTTTCTTAACATAAGACAAATCTAATACCTCGGGTCATCTGAAGGCCTCCGTTTAATATGTGACCAAACCATCTAAGGCGAATCTCTCTAATCTTATCTTTCACTGGAGCTACTCCAAACTTTTCATGTATATGCTCATTTTATATCCTATCTCTAAGGGTAAAGCCACTCATTCCTGAGCATCCTCATCTCTACAACACTTAACTAAGTTTTATGCTTCTCTTTTAATGGCCAACACTTGGCACCATAAAGCATTGCAGGTCTCACCACCATCTTATAGAAT